GCCACGCAGGATTGCGGTGCTGGTGGTGGGGTCTGGCTCTTTGCCCGGCTTCAAGAACAAACACTCACATCTAGGCAGCGGTGTGAAGTTCAGGGCCTCAAAGTGTTCTTTTTTTTTCCTTGTGGCTTCCTTTGGCCTCGAAGCGGCTTTCTTCTGTGTCTGTGTTGACGCCTGTCGTTTCTTGGTATCCTTTTCATTGGCTTCCGTTCAGCCCGCCGGCTTGGGCTTCAAATATTTGGGTCGATTGCTCTTGCATTTCTTTGTGGGTCATCCTATGCGTATCAATCCGGTTGGCTTCCTTCAAGGTGCTTTCGAGGTCGCTTCCTATTGCTTTCCTTTCAGCCTCTTCGTTTGCCATCATTGATTCCTTTAAAAAGGAAACAGCAACACGTCACAACACCCGCACACACACACAAATGACAACCTCCCTCTGATTCGCATGACATCTGACAAAGGGCCCAGGGTTCTCTCAGGTGTCATTTGGGGAGGTTTTATGCCACGGGTAGACCAAGCATCGGGCATTTGCAACTCGTGCAAGTAGGAGAATCGGGTGGCGATGGTCTTAGTCACCTTACCGGCACTCGGCCTCAGATTGGCGCTGCTCGGAAGGTTACCAGCGGACCACTTTGAGAACACTCTTTGACTCAGTAGACAAATCAACTCATTCACTTGCAAGGCGCGGCATCCATGTCTCCAATGCATGCATCTCCACGCTTCATAGAAACCAGAAATGTCAGAAATCATCCACACTTGACCAAAACATAGCCGCAACATGGCTCGGTTCCAACCATTGCCCCGGATTTCGGGGTCATGTTGCTCCAACCGCCAGCGTCTCTCATGAGAAACCAATAAGCTTGCAGCCCGGACAGCTGGATCGGGCCCGGGTTCTCGTACAGCTCCTCGGCGAGGTGTGCCAAAGAATGGCGAACACATGCGCCGTGCCAGACATGTGGCAATACTGTGGATGGACGAAATCCATTTCGCACCAGTTTGAAACCAATGGAAACCATTGGTTTGTTGCTATTTACAGGGGAATCATCATTCCAGGGTTTCTTGGGTGGTGCAGGATTTCGTCCATCCACAGTATGGTCAACGCACTAAAGCAACACGTGCAGCAACGAATCTGATGCCCTCCCCTCCAAGTGGCATGTCATCAAGTCTCGCCATCAACTTGCCTTATGAATCCCCCCTACAGAACTGAACCTCCACGCATGAAAAGTCAGAAACGCAGAGCTTGATCAACATGATTCGATGTGTGGCATGGCTCTACATCGGCTGATTAGATTTCGGGCTGCGAGAATGGTGTTGCTAACGTCACACAACAACGAATCCGAACAACTCAAAGCTGCTCAAAAGCACTCGGCTGCTTATTGTGTATGAGGGACACACGACTTTTCCATGTCGAAGCCATGGAATTCATTGCAATCGAAGGCTTCTCAGACGTTTGCGCCAAGCTTCATGCCATGAACCCAGGAACGTCGCAAGCCCGCATGGAGGCATCTCTAACGTCGGGTTTGGCCTTCCTCTAAGCAGCTGTGTCCCTTTCAACACCATTCACGCGGCCGTGCCCAATCTAGCCCAATGCGATGAAACAACAACAGGCTGCAAGGTGCAGTGCAGCGTTCGCTGCAAAGCAAAAAGGCCTTTGCCAGCTGGCACGCAGTATTTTTGACGGTACCCTTTGAAGGAATGGACACGGGCCCCATATGAGACAAACCACCTGTCACCTGTAGAATTGTCAGCTTTGGAAGAGCGTGCTGTGTTCAGCTCTCGGGTGCCTTGCACTGCATGGTAGCCCCAGTCAATGAACATCCATCAAATCACGACCTGATATTATCTCCAATCATTCCTGAATTCATATTTGAAAATCCATCTGAAAACACCTCCACCAAAAGTGGATAACCTCGCAACCACGAAAGCCAAAATGCCTAGCCGAGTGGACGGAGCAGGGAGCAGCCATCATGTTGACAGTTTAGCACAATCTGGGGCGGGCGCATCTCGTGCGCAGGCATCGCGCACCTGCGCGAAGCGGTGCGGTGCAGTCCCAGGTTACTCACACGCTGGACGGGAAGTGGCCGTGAATGGCGCCCAAGCTCGTTTCCTGATGTCATAACAACAACTTGTAAAACAAAGTCACATAGACAACCCTCGGAGCTATGGCTGTTGGCCCAGCTTGGTTGACGTTGGAAGGGGAGCAAAAAGTGAAATTGTAGCAGTTCAGTGGATTGGATTTCAACCACTAAACCACAATAAGCAAAGATGTGTCCAATGTTTCCCGTTGCAACAACCATCTTACCCCTTAAAACTCCCAGGTTTGGGGAAGTTAATCTTCTACAGACATATAGCCCATGTTACCCAAAAGGGTACGAAAAGTTGTGTTTCTTGAGAGGTAAGCCATGCCAGGGGCCATACCAAACATGACCGCTCTCCCCGAGGTCGCCCATCGCATCGCTCTCGGCACCTCCTTCCAGGACCTGAAGGCCGCAGCGTCCAGATCCACCTGCGGCCCATCCCACCACTCTTCGCCCGAGAAAAAAATAAAAAAAACGGCACAAGCTGCAAACCACTAGGTCTTCCAGATTTGGGAGCTTAGAACAAGGGTACCCACTTTTTCTGTGGTCTATTTTAGTCGGGCTCCCCCCCAAAAAAGGGTAAAAGGGCACTACTGGGGGCCTAGAGACTAGATGTGGTGTATTTTGAAAGAAACGCTTTGCAGCAATTGGCAATACTGCCCGGTTGCATTGAGCTAGTTCGTGCTCCTTAGCTTTGAGCACTTTCATTTTAGGATCCGCAAACTCTAATACGCCAGTGGATTCACTCGAACGATGACCACAGCTCAGAACCCGCTGGTGAGTTTGCCCTGTTGCCACCAGAGTGCGACCCTTGCCAATGACATTCGCTTGCCATTGACACAACGGGCTACCCCCGTCCCCATTGCTGTCGGCTCACTGGCCCAAAGGATCTGGACTCTAAGTGTTGGAACCTTGACTCATTGACCAGAACCGTACCAAAAGGTCATTCATGACGCTAGATGGGTCAAATACTCAATTCAAATACTTATGGGAGACCCAACGGTCAGGCTATCATGGAACCAGTACCCCGAGGTACCAACAAGGGGTACTGGTTGCAAGAGCCCACTGGGCAGCGTTTTTCTTCGCATTCCGACGCTCCATTAACATGGCAGCTTGCTCAGCTTGCTCTGCGCGCAGCCTTGCAAAAACCAAGAAATGGTGGCAAGGTGCTTGTGCATCTAGGTTTGAACATGTGATTGGTATCAAACTCTGGACAAGTGCTATATAAATCATCGAGTTTGTGTGATATGCGCGCAAACTGGCTTGACCCAGAGCTGTTTTTGTTTCAAAATAGCTCGGCAATTGCCGTTCTCCTCAGGAGACCCAGCATGGCTTTGCCATGCAGAGGTGAGGCTTTAGAAACTTTCAGCGCGTGATTCCCGAAGCAGAACGAGCACTCCAGCACTCCAGCACTCCAAAGAAAAGTGGCAACCGAAGCTTCAATGTTCTGCAAACGTTGGTTGACGTTGAAAGGTAAACCAGCCCAAACATGGACTTACTTGATTTCAGTGGAGAATACGAAAACAATAAAGCATCCTTTGCCGACCGTTGGCCCTTTTTCCGCAACCACCAGAAGCGGTCCCCTTGGGCTCAAGCATGCCCGAAAGGTTGTTAGTAGCCCAAGTGCAACATCAATTGAGCCTTTGTTGCATAAGGATGGTTTCGGGTATATGGTAGATGGGTCTAGAGTTTACCCCGATGCATTTTTGCATGAACTGGCACAGAGTATGGTTCGGCATCTCGAGCTGCTGCGGGAATGCCACACGGGGCCCGACAGGTGCCGAGGACTTTGTGCGCCAAGCGCACAGTTTGGAGGCACACACCCTTGCTGCAGATGCAGATGCCGTGCGCCGCCCCTGCTTTGAAGCGCAGAGTGCCGGCGAGTGAGCCACCCGACCAGCCAGGTTTGTCTCGGTCAGGTCGTTTTTGGTGGCCGTTTTTGTTTTGATGTTTGTTGAAGCGGTCTTGTTTCTTCTCTGAATCCTTCCTGCCCATGGCCATCGTCCTTCTGGCGTATTTTTCGTCCAAATGGTCATGCAAACAAGAAGACTTACCCATGCAGGCCTATGCAGCGCCATTCAAGGACATGGTGTTTGCGGGAAACTTAGTAAGAATCCCGCCTCCCAAACGTAGCATAGACTACTGAATACTTGACCTCGCCTCCTATAAATAGGTGACCGTTTTGAATGTGGCTCTGCCAGCAAAGCGACTTGCTTCGAAACGACCCTTCGAACAAGCGATTTTGTTTCATGGTTCGGTTTGTTCCAAATTCTCCACGAAAATGGACAGACACGATTTGCAATTTGGCTGTGCCTCACAAATAGACGAACCACCAAAAAATTGTGGATCCCTCCTGTAAACAGCACCTCAACAGCGCACCCGAGAAAGACAAACCCATGGCCCTTTTAGATCAATGGATTCATTTCTTTTCAGAGGTGCCTCTCTTGCCTGAGCCTGGGGTCGGTTTGGCCCTTTGATGAGTGGATTGGCCAACACAATGTCCAATTGTTTGGTTTCTCAGTTAAACGGCCACCCCAAAAACAACCTTCGAAGTCCCGGAGCTCCTTCCGTGAGTCGCGGTCGCAACACCTTCCGCTCACTTCACTTCTTCCGGGGCCAGCTCTGGCCGCGGGCGCGCATGCCGCTGCCGTTGGAGCTCACGGAGCCCCGGCGCAGGTCCTGCAGATGCGCCTTCTGCGTGAACTTTGGCAGCTGCACCTTGGGGGGTTTGCTCGAGAGCTGAACGCCGTGGGGGTCGGGGGGCGGGGCGAATGGCGAAGTAGATGGATGTTCGAAGCCGATCAAGCTGCTGCTCTCAAACCTGGAACTTGCTCCAAGAGTTGAATGCCGTGGGGCCGAACTGCATTGAAACCAAAGCTCCTGTCTGTCTCAAACTGGTGGACCCCTTTTGTAGACGTCCGTAAAGAACAGGAGGCTTGAACCCTGGCAATACCAGAGCTGCACTTCGAACCACATGGACAGCCGAAACCCAGTGGCGACCGCAGGAACCCAAATGCCGTGCATGTTCAAGCGGTAAACCTCCTACATGATTCATGCAACGGAATCCGGAAAATTGACAATCCCCATTAATACTTCTCCAACGCCAAGTTCCCATCCCAATTATCTCAAACCTGATTGGTCATTGTTTTGAAGCTCAAAGTGAATGCTTGTCATGATTGTCTATACGACAAGGAGTCCACAACCAGCATACTCGCAAGTAATTGGGAGCTATACCGGCCCAGGCACAGATTGGCATGAGAATCAATTGGGAAACCCTTGTTTCGGATGGTGTTTCAATTGATTGGACCCCTGGTGGACAGCATACGGTTGCATTCATGACACCTACATCCAACCACGCACTATGGAGAATGTTCTCAAAATTACAGCCATCCCTGCGGGAATGAGGTATCTTTCATTTACTTCTGTGAAGTATTGTAGGAAACAGTACACCCCGTCTCCCTCGTTTAGAGCGAAGAAGTAGTCCGGGGGAAAACCGTGTTCCCGATACCGTCACAGAATCGGGCAATTTCCACGAGCTTGTTGATTTTGCATTCCCCGAAAGTTGACACACACACACACAGTTGACATTTTTTGGTAGCCCTGCCAGTGAACATTTAGAATCCACCAAATACTTGCCGAGATTCGCCGAAGACCCCATGTTTTCACTTTTCCTGCAAAGTTCCACAACATGATGTTGGATGCCTGAAAGCAAAAGCCGACTCAATGGGATGCATCGACCTATTGACGTGCCCTGAACGCGACGGGTGCAGGGGTGGAACCTGCAATTGAGCAACTCGGGGCAAAATCATGACACGCCGCCTCCTCTCTCTCTCTCTCTCCTCTCTCTCTCCTCTCTCTCTCCTCTCTCTCTCTCCTCTCTCTCCTCTCTCTCTCTCTCTCTCTCTCTCTCTCTCTCTCTCTCTCTCTCTCTTGATTTCTCTCTTTCTTCCCTTTTTTTCTTGATTTCTTTCTTGCTTTCTGTCTTTCTTGCATGCTTTCTTTATTCATTGGTGTATTTCTTTCTTTAGTTCTTTCTTTCGTTCTTTATTAATTTTGCTGCTTTAGGTCGTCCTCCCTTTCTCCCTCTCTCTCTCTGTGTTGTACCAGGTCGGCCTTCCGAAAATTGAACATGTTGATGGAGAAACCGTTGAGGCCAGAATTGGCCGCCTCCGCGCGTCTGGTCAGTTCTCGCTGATGCTTCTGGAACCTCAACGCCAAGTGGGAATGGCCTTTCGCTGTGACCGTGAGGAAACAGCAAACCGCCTGAACCCCCAGAACCCCCAGAAACCAACAACAGAACAAAAGCCCCCTGAACCTGAAACCCCTCCCCTCCAACAACAACAACAAAAAACGATCTGGTGTTGCCAAGCATCCATCCGTGATCCCCAGAAGAGTTCCCACACACACAACAGCGGCTGGCGGTTCGGGGTCCCAAAAAGCCATGGAACTCGAAAGGGTGTCCCCTTAAAGGAGTCGGCTGTCAAATTTCCAATGGCTGTTGGGTTGCAGGTTAAAATGCTGAGACGTATCTGTCCAAGTGAACCTTTGGCGAAAATAGGGTCATTCAAATGCCAACGCCTATGAACCTGTGCGTTTAATCGCATCCTCAGACTTCTTTGCTTCACGGATCCGAAGTAGCAGGTTGTGCACCGACTCAAAATGCTTGCCAAAAAAGAAAAAACCCAAGGTCAACAGGCAATCCTCGAACAATGCAAGCGAAGGCCTCACGTTGCCGAGACTCTCTTCAATGAAGCCATCTAAGAGGCTGCTGTGCTTCTTTCTCACCAGTCCTGCAAGCTAGCGAGCCAGTGCACATCCTCTCTGCCTGTCGGCCATGAAACCCGGCGAATCCACGCCTGACTACCTAGGGGTTCGTTGCGGCAGAAATTTCTGCCGCAATTCAAAAAAGGCAACTTTTTGGTTTTGCGGCATTTCTTCCTGATTTGCGGCGCTTCTATATTGAATTGCGGCAGAACTTGTTTTTTCATATCCGCCCGCCTCGGCTAACAGGACAATAAGTGCACGAAATCAGGTTACGCGAGCCATTGTGTGTGAGGTTCACCTAGGAAGATGAGGTGAAACCTGCAAAGCTGGACCGGTATGCAATTTTCTCAAAGGGGTTCAGCGGCACTGCCGCTGCTCCTTGGCTCAAGAAGCTTTTGTTTCTGCAAAAGGAGTGCAATAAGCCCGCTCAGCCGAAATCGTCCTAAATCGATCAAATCAACCCGTTGCAGCCTGTGGCGTTTTTTCCGCATCTGTTCAGTTTGTTCCACCCCCGACTTGCGGCGGAAAGCGACGGGAATGCGGCGGAAATCGGCGGGAATGCGGCAGAAATTCTTGCGGAGAGAAAAAGTGTGCCCTGATCGTTGAATTTAGCAGGTTTGTGGGGAAGAGAAAGCTCTCCTCGGCTTGCATCCGCAAAGTTTGG